CATGGTGGCACATGCCTGTGGTCCCAGCTACTTGGGAGGCTGAAGCAGAAGGATCGCCTGAGCCCAGGAGTTTGAGGTTGCTGTGAGCTAGGCTGACGCCACGGTACTCTAGCCAGGGCAACAGAGTGAGACTCTGTCTCAAAAAATAAAATAAAATAAAATAAAATAAAATAAAATAAAATAAAAAGCATCAAATAAACTTTCCACAAGACTACACCTAAAAAGGGGATACAGTCTTCATCTGCATTTCTGTGTGGTGAGAATGCCTTAGACCATTTCCCAGACTGATCTTCAAAACGCAGGTTCCAGTGGATTTTAAGAGATGCTATGTAAAAAAAAAAAAAAAATTATGTGTTCTAATAAAGTTTTTAAAAAGATGGGTAAAAATTTCAACAGATTTCTTCACTGTAGAACTACTCAGGAGCATCTCATGGAAGTAGAGTACCTTGAAATATGCTTTAGGGGAAAAATGGCTTTTTTCTTCTAAAATTATAATTCGAAAAGTGAATTTATTCTATATTATTAATATATCTAAGTTTTTGTTTCTCAGGTAAGTTAACTCTGGGCTTAGTTCTTTCAGAAGACAGGAGCTATGATGTCCAAAGAATGACCTGTGACTAGAGGAGGATCTCTCCATGTAGTGAGACCAGCATGCAGGGTTACATACTCTGCACTTCCACTTCCGTGCCTTAGGAGGCACCTGCCAGCTGGTATGAGAAGACCTGACATCTCACACATAGATAATGATCGCATCGCAGATATTCTCTGCTTTCTACTTCTGACCATAGATTGGGCAAAGTGTAGGGTTTCCTCTTCCCTGCTACACAGTGCTGAGGTTTCCCTTTCGGGTGTTCCTTTCCCATAAAGACTATCATGGCATTCATATTAATGTGATTTTACTCACTTAACAATAGAAGAAAGCGACACCTATATCCATAACCTCCATGGGCCTGACCCTGACTCACCTGTGGAGCATCATTGATTCTAACCCAGCCCACACATCTTACCTTGCTACTACTGGAGACCTTCTTGGCTTCTGGCCACAGTGTAAGTACCACGCCCTGGTTTTCTTTATGGAGTGCACAGAAACTATGCACCCATCTATTTCTACTTACCACTGTGTCATGACTTTAGAAATGCAGGACTGATGTATCTCCTCATAGGAAACTGCACTATGAACAACTTAATGTTTGATACATTCTCAAAAATGAGTTTCCTCTCTTCCTATTCTCTTGCCTTATTTACTTCAAGAAGAACATCGGGAGCTTACTCAAGAAGGATAATGCTCTACAGTTATGTCTTCTCTGGGAGTTGCAAACAAGACTCAGTCAGCCTGCCAAGCATATGCATGTGGGTATTCCAACGTGAAACAGAAGCTTCACTGATCAGTGAACAGAATGAACCACAGCTGCTAGTTTAGTTCTGGCTCGAATAGAAAGTTGTGGCTTATGCCATCTCCAAGGGCTGGTTAAAGCTCTGATTCATGCATGAACCACCCAGTCCATATGGGGTAGGGAACTCAGCTTGAGCTGCAACTTTCTATTCAAATTTTATCAAGTCCAGAAATACAGTGCTTCTGATACCAATCCGTTGCCTTTTTTTTTTTTTTTTTTTGAGACAGAGTCTGCTTTGTTGCCCAGGCTAGAGTGAGTGCCGTGGCGTCAGCCTAGCTCACAGCACCCTCAAACTCCTGGCTCGACGATCCTTCTGCGCAGCTCCGAGTAGCTGGGACTACAGGCATGTGCCACCATGCCGGCTAATTTTTTTATATATTATATCAGTTGGCCATTAATTTATCTATTTATAGTAGAGACGGGTCTCCGCTCTTGCTCAGGCTGGTTTGAACTCCTGACCTTGAGCAATCCGCCCACCTGCCTCCCAAGAGCTAGGATTACAGGCGTGAGCCACCGCGCCCGGCCGCCTTTTTTTTTTTTATGATTTATGTGAATAGCATCATTTAAAGCCACACACTTTTAATCTCTGAAGATACAATCTGACTTGCTTATAGGTAAAAAAATTTATGGAGAGCCCCTAAAAGTTATCTTCCCAACCTAACTGCCATCCTTATCTCTTTAAATGAAGACATTAGTCTCTGGAATAACTCATTGAGCCTATGCTTCTCAAACTTTCCCACTAATGTACCCCTAACAGAGGAGAGTGAAGGTATCCATAAGGGAATACCCGAAGATGGGTGAAATTCCTTTCAAGAAACTCCTGTTTTATCTTTTAAATTTATGAATTTTGTTTTGTACTCTGTAGATATATATGATTATTTTACTATAATAGTAAATACTGCCTGTAGGATTTATATCACTCAGAAACAGAAACCATGCCCTTTGTTTTAACAGAAAAAGTTGATAACCAAATGTTAGTGACCTAAAAAAAATGCAGAAAGAAGACACCGAGGTTCTCAGAGACAGCAGGAAGCAACTAACGCATTAGGGCTGGGAACAAAGGGAAGAAGAGGTTGGGATTATTAAACCCTGGCAGCAGAAAGGAGGGCCCAGGGGGCTAGGACGGGTTTCGAGAGGACATGAACTGCCCACACGGGTGTTTCCGAGGGGACAAGTGAGGCTGGTTCTGGGCTTGTGGAAAAATACATGGAAGCAACCCCTTCTGCTGAAACGTCTGTTCTTCACAGCAACATGAAGACCTGTCACTGGGCTTTGGGGTCGGTCAGGAACCAGAAACAGCCAGAAACAGGCCCCTTCCATTTCCTTCCTCCAGCCTTGCAGTCATCATCAGCCTCGGGCCCCCTCTTGGCAGAAGGTAAAAGGAGCCCCTGACAAAGAAGAAAGGCGGGCCGGGCGCGGTGGCTCATGCCTATAATCCTAGCACTCTGGGAGGCCCAGGCAGGCAGATGGCTCAAGGTCAGGAGTTCAAACCAGCCTGAGTAAGACGAGACCCGTCTCTACTATAAATAGAAGAATTAATTGGCAAATAATATACAAAAAAAATTAGCGGCATGGTGGCACATGCCTGTAGTCCCACTACTCAGGAGCCTGAGGCGAAGATTGCTTGAGCCGGAGTTGAGGTTGCTGTAGCTAGCTGAACGCCACGGCACTCACTCTAGCCTGGGCAACAAAGTGAGACTCTGTCTCAAAAAGAAGAAAGGCGTTTGCAGTCTCAGCGCCAGCAACGCGGAGCGGAACATGGAAGGGTGGGTTGGAGCTGAGAGGTAGCTTCGTAGCCAGCACAGCACACTTAAACCTGTTTCCCAACGACAGTCCTAGCTGAGCTGATGCTCCTAGAAGATGTGCCATGTTTATTCATCCTACGGCTGTGTATGCCTCTGGCAAACACTTTATAGACCTGGCAGCGCAGCGGCATTGGCTACTACCAGCCCAGCGAGTGACCTTGGGAGGCATTCGGCAGGGGCCAAGGACACCAGCCTCCCCATCCCACTTCGGCCCCTTTTGCATACCCTGGGACACGTGGCTTTCTCAGTACCCACTTCACATGAGGGAGTTGGATCAAATTCTCTTAAAGTCTATTGCAATTTTATAGTTATTAGACATCACTATGGGAAATATCACCTCGTATAAGCATTGTTTTTGTGGAAAGGGGAATCCAAAACAGAAATTAGTGGGATTTCTAAGACTCTATTGGGCATCCCAAAATAGCTTAAGGGTAGGCGGTGGGAGGAGGAGAGCCTCAAGAAAGAAAGTGTGGGAGAAGAAACAAAAACAGGATTAGAAGGGTGCGAAGAGGAATTTGGAGAGGGTATTAAGGTGAGCGCAGGCGGGGGGAGCAGGAGGGAGCACGTGGCATTTCTGGACTGTGACGACTTGGCTTTTGCCCCATGGTTTGCCTTATGATTCCTGGTGGCTGTGAAACCAAAGCGTTGTACGTTCTGTAACCCTGGGTGGAGACAAGCTAGAATGGCACAAGTCAGGTGACGGCAGCCTTTCGTCTGTAGTAAGGAAATAGAGTCCCAGTCTCGAACACCTAATCCTCTCTTCCCTTCAGCGCTGCAAACATGAAGGTGAGAGACCTGCACACACTGCCATCGGCCACAAAGCATTTCTTAACCCAGCTCCCTTCATCCAGATGAAATGCTTTGTGTTTCCTGGCAGAAAGGCGTGATTTCGGTGCAATGTGTGTGTAACTTACTCTCTTGCCTTGGAAGGATCCAAGTGCTTTTCACTGGATCACAGAAGAGACAGGTGGGTACCGAACGACAGACAATGTTTGGCTGAACTTCGTGTGTGGTGTTGATGTCTAAACGCTTACAATTCCCCCTACAACTCTCCCGCAAACTTGGTTACAGATCACGCGGTAATTAAATAGCCCCTTTAAGATATCGTGGCTGATTTAATGAGGGCCAACCCCATCATAACAGATTGTTAATCTGAGCTGGTTGGGTTTTTTTCCCCTTTGTTTCATTTTCAAAGATTTTTATTACTGTAAGATATTTGGCAATATTCTTTATTAGGCTGATAAGTTTTGAATTGCTTTTCATTTTATTATCACATTAGTTCCTTCTTAATGATTTTACTAGAACTCAGAAGTCTCCCGAGTTTGAATAACCTCTCTTTTTTTCTGTACTTATAGTCATGGAATTAATTGTATAAAATCATGATCCTTCATTGAATATGTGACCAGGCCAAAAGAAGAAAATTCAATAAGAAGAATTAGACGTTGAAGAGTGATTGACGACGATTCATCTTGCTTCAGATTTTCCCCTTTTAGACTCTCATTTGCTTTGCAGTGGCACAATTTCCTTTCTTTCTACCTCTTACTATATTCTTCAGACTGAGGAATACTTTGAAATTCTCCGAACTTGTAATTATTAAAATTAAACTTTTAGAGATCAGATGACTTTTTTAACTATATGAAAGGACCTATTTTTATTAACCTAAGAATACTCTGTAGCTGGCTTTGTTTAAAAGACAACTAAGGTGAACTAAAGGAAATTATCAAATTATCAATTAACCAAATTGTCTTAGGATCTTATTTTCTTTTTTTTTTTTTTTTTTTTTAACAATCTTTTAATCTATAAATGTATTTTAGTATATTGGCACTTGTATTAGTTGCTATTCCTACCACCATGTCTACATGTTTATATTATATACAGAAGACACACATGACTTACTATTTGTGTGTGTTTCACTATTCAGAGGTGGTAGCAATTCTAATAGTTGAAAAAGTAATTAATATTAATTATTCTGTAGACAATAATAAAATCTGAAGATAGTTAGCAGATACAGTATTATCTTCCTTTAAGCAAAGTTGCTAATATGGAATCCTCACATATATACCCAATACTAAAATAAAGCTAATTCTGTTTTAAGATTCTGGATCATGGAGTCCATTCTGAAACAAAGCGTCCAATAATCAATGAATCAGCTAACCGACAGGTTAACAAAGACATCCAATGCTGAATGGCTCAAAGAGAGTTAAAGACAACATCTGCATAGAATTCATCATACAACCACTTCTAATTAGTCATATGGGACACTGTCCTTTAAAAGAGAATATTCAGATGCCAGGATGAAGGCCCAAAGTAGCATTTCCAGTTTGGTTTTCTAATTTGAAGGGCTTCTCTGTGCTGTCTTGGTTTTTGCTTTCCTCGGAGGATTCTAGCTTGGCCATTATTATATTACTGGTTCCAGGGGTGTCTGATTGCTTATCATCACCTTCAAAGATAATTCCTCTGGATTGGAGGTGGGGGCAGAACTCTTCGTTTGAAAGATCTCCTGGAAAAGTGTTTCGGCTTGCTTAACTGCATGCTTGTTTCCAGGCACCATCAGGCCAGAGCAGACATACACATTGGAAGGTAAACCGTCATATGAGCTTCGGCTGATTCCTGAGGAATCTCTCATATTAAAATAAAGAGCCCACAAGACTCTTGGTTTTGTAAGTTCTTCCTTGTCTATTTCTGCTTCAGCATAGGGTGTGAATAATTTCTTCACCACTGATTCTAAGTCTTCTCTTGCTTTTTAGAAGAGGAACATGTCAATGTATCAGATAAGTGTCTTTCATGCATGTCATGGTTGAAGAACATAATTCTGTGACCGAACGGCACAAGTTCCTGGTTCTGCTGGAGCACTATCAAAATGGAAATCTGCTGATCTGAATCTGTCTTTAGCACAGACTGATCTGTAATGAGCACTGCCCTAGAGATCTGCTTATACTGCACATTTGAGCAGGTGTCCTCAGAAGTAACCATCCTCTACAATAAAATATTTAGCATTTATTCTTTGACCAAAGTGATCTATGATTGCTTTACATCTTCCAGATTCTTTGTCAACTACAAAACATTGTACTTTATGGCGAAGACAATAAATTCCACCAAAAACTGCACACATCCTGCAGAAACACTGGGGAATTTCTCCTTGGCCATATAAAGGAAATAAAAAGGGAGTGTCACCAAACCGTCCAAGACACTGAAGGAAGTTTTTTGTTGCTTTAAGGCCATCAACTGTAGTGCAAGATGATTCTGATGTCATTGCAATTGAGTGCAGTACAAAATGCTGGAGGTTAGGAGTTAATTTTTTAGTTTTTAAGTACTCTGAAAATGAACATTGCTTGAAAGCTTCATATTCATCAGGATGGTGTTCATAGTCTAAACAAAATGTGAGAAATTTCATTAGCATCCTCTTTTCTACCATTGTGAGTTCCTTGCTATTAAAGACGTCTGCTCTGGAACAAGGCACCTGTTCTACCTTTCCTTCCTGAAATGCAAGAATCCTAGTGACATTTTTAAATTCTGCGTAACGACTAACATTTGATTTGATTAAAAGATCAATTAGCAATCCTTGAGAATATAGCAGCTTTGATACCAAATCAATGTTAAACCTCCGGCCTTCTTTAACTATTTGAGAGTAAGCAATCCTATTTTTCTTTGGCTGATCAGTGTTGTCTTCTACTGTAGGTTTGTTTTCATCTTTATCTCCCTCTGAAATAGTATGTATACAAGTTTTAGCTCCGCAGTCTTTTCCTTCCTCCAGTGATTCCTCTACATCAGTTACTTCTAGTGCAATCTCTTCATCACTTTTCTGAGGGTGCTTGGCAGGCATTTCGAGGCCAGTAAAATACGATGAGTGTTTTTCTTCAGGCAAGGATGCAGAATATAGAAATTCAGTGAGGGTACTAGATGCCACTGAGGAAGGACTTTTCTGCAGAGCACCAATCTCTTCAACATTGTCCTCCACATCCTGACTGGCATAACAAAAAACTTCTGTGTGTTGAATGGTTTCATCCTTCTTGCGAAGAGTGATGGCTTCTTCTGTTTCGTGGATCAGTTCTTGCCACGCAGCAGTACTTTCTTCCCCAACATCACTGTTTTGCTGATACTCCTTCAACCAGGATAGCAATCCTGAAAAGCTGAAACTAGCCCAGTCTCCTCCATAGTAACTTCTTGAGTCAATATGCAGAACCCTCTGACCACTCCTTGAACATGCAGCTGCAAGGATGGATTCAGGCAAACCTGTCCCTATTATAACCACATCAAACTCTGTGGGTAGACTGTCCGCCATCCTACGACGTAAAGCGTCCGGTGACGACTGCCGATGAAGGAAATGCGCGTATGAGTCTAAGCTGAGGACTCAGCTGAGGTATGATTATGGTGTAATAGAATTTCTCCTTGTGATCTTCCAGTTCATCCCAGAAGCACTGAGGTTGCAGGTCCTAGCTGCTTAACTGTGACCCTTTTAAAATATTTTTTCCTTATATAAGTCAGTGGCATAAAAACATGAGAAAGTACATCTAATCACATCTGAGAATACTAAAACGGATGTGTGGTTTCATTTCTGCATTTCATCTTGGCAGTAGATGTCAAAATGCATCATATATGCATTTGTGACTGGAACTCTTCTCGAAAAGGCTGCTGCTAGACCCGTCCCACACGCAGCCCATGGTGTCCCACACCCAGCCGTTCCTCAGGCAGGACACGAAGGTAAACGTGACCCCGAAGAGGGACACCAGCAGGTCGCTGAGGCCGATGTTGACCAGGAGGAGGTGGGTGGGGGTGCGGAGCCGCGGGAACTTGTAGTAGAGGACGAGGACCAGCAGGTTGTTGCCACCGCCTAGCAGCCGGATGGAGCCGAGCAGCCCAATGGAGCCCAGCAGCCCGATGGAGCCCAGCAGCCCGATGGAGCCCAGCAGCCCGATGGAGCCCAGCAGCCCGACGGAGCGGAGCAGCCCGACGGAGCCCAGCAGCCCGACGGAGCGGAGCAGCCCGACGGAGCGGAGCAGCCCGACGGAGCCCAGCAGCCCGACGGAGCCCAGCAGCCCGACGGAGCGGAGCAGCCCGACGGAGCCCAGCAGCCCGACGGAGCGGAGCAGCAGCGCCAGGCGCTCGTAGGTGCCCGGGCTGAACAGCCACGCCGGGCTCTGCGTCGCCGCGGTTCCCCGAGTACATGGCCAGGATCTTATTTTCATGTTCATCTTCCTTTATCCATGACAATAGGAATTCTCTCGAGAATAACTGTCTACCAATTAAAGTGCTGAGGTCAAATCCCCTTTATTAAATAATAATTTAAGTAAACGTGAATTAATATTAAAAGAGCTAAATGTCACCAATAACAGGCTCTAAAAGAACAAAAATTTCAAATAACCTTTTATCTCAGGTACTGTCGAACAATAAGACTATGAAGTGGAAATCAGTAGTTAAGTTTTCAAAGAGAAATAAACAATTAAGTGCCCAATAACAAAATTAAGAGTTGGACAAATTAAAATCATAGTTATAAAAACCAAATGAATGATTACTTCAGGTTATAAAAAACTTCCACCTTTACCAGTGTATAACTGAATATGTACATTGAAGCTAAACACCTCCAGCAGCAGCAAATTAAATTATCCTTATGTCAAACTATCTCTTCTAAATCTAATATATAATGGATGCACAATAAATGTCTACTGAATGAATGTGTTTGTTCAATTAATGGGTTTAATAAGTTAAAAGAGAACTGAGCTCTGTAAACATAACTCCTTGGTCTGACAAAGCTGCAAATTTTGCAACTAGTCAATTATTGATGGATTTGATCATTTAACAATTCATTTGGGGAGCTGATTTATTTCTAAAAATATTCAAATAAGCAAACTATTAAGGTGATAACCAAACTAAGATACAAACTATTAATATGTTGTCCTTGATGCATGTAAAAGTAAACACAGATTTTAATTTATCCAAAAGCATCAGGTAATCAAATAGCTTCACTCGTGACTTCTATCAAATGTTTAGAGAATTAACATCAATCCTTCACAACTCTATAAAATACATTTCAAAAAACTGAATAGGAAGGAACACTTCTGAACTCATTTTAAGAGTCCAGTATTACTCTGATACCAAAACCAGACAAAGACATCACAAGAAAAGAGAAGTACAGGCCAGGTGCGGTGGCATGCGCCTATGCAGCTACTCAGGGGGCTGAGGCAGGAGGATTGCTTGAGCCCACAAGGTCAAGGTTGCAATGAGCTACGATCACGCCACTGTACTCTAGCTGGGGCAGCACAGCGAGACTCTGTCTCAAAAAGAAAACAAAAAACTACAAACCAACATCTTTTATGTCCATAGGCATAAAAATCCTCAAGAAAATATAAGAAAACAAAACCCAGCAACATATAAACTAAATTATTTGTCATAATCAAATGGAATTTATCCAGGAGTGAAAGGTTGATTCAATATACGAAAATCAATCAGTGTGATACACCATACTAATAGAAGAGAAGACCAAATTATTTTCCTGTATCTAATAGATACAGGAAAAGAATTTGATAAAATCTAACACCCTTTCATGATAACAACACTCAACAAACTAGGAATAAAAGATAACTTCCCCACCCTGATAAAGGATATCTACAAAAAATCCCACACATAACATCATACTTAATTCTGAAAGACTGAAAGCTTCCCCCCCCCTAAGACTGGGAACAAGACAAGGGTATCCACTCACCACTTCTATTCAATGTTGTGCAGAAGGTTCTAGCCAGGGCAATTAGACAAGAAACATTTTTTAAAAGCATCCAGATTAGAGGACATAATCTTACATCTATAAAATCCTAAAGGATCCACAAATAAACTAATAAAACTAATAGATTAGTTCAGAAAGGCTGCAGGATGCAAGATAAGTGCACAAAAATTAATTGCACTTCTATACATTGACAATGAACACTCTGAAAAATAAATTAAGAAAATAATTCCATTTACAATAGCATAGAAAGAATAGAATACTTAGGAATAAAGTTAACAAAAGAAGTGAAAGATTTGCATGTGGAAGATTACAAAACATTGTTAAAGAAATTAAAGACCTCGTCTGGGCACAGTGGCTCAGGCCTGTAATCCCTGAACTTTGGGAGGCCGAGACAGGAGGAGCACTCAAGGCTAAGAGTTCAAGACCAGCCTGGGCAACATAGTAAGAGCCCATCGCTACAAAAAAGAATTTAAGAATTAGAAAAAAAGAAATTAAAAACCTAAATAAATGGAATAACATCCCATTTTCATGGGGTAGAAGACAATATTGTTAATATGGCAATATTCCACAAATAGATCTTCAGATTCAATGCAATACCTATCAAAATCCTAGATGGCTTTTTTCTAGAAATTGACTAATTGATCCTAAAATTCATGTGGCAATTCACAGACCCCAAATAGCCAAACCAATTTTGAAAAAGGAGAAAGTTGAAGGATTCAAATTTCCCTATTTCAAAACTTACTATAAAACACTACAAAGCTACGGCAATCAAGACTGCGTGCTACTGCTATAAGAACAGACATACAGATCCATGAAATGTTACTGGAAGTCCAGAAATGGTCCCATACATTTATGGTCAACTGAGCTGTGACAAGAATGCCAAGACCATTCAATAGGGAAAGAATAATGTTTTCAATAAACACTGTTGGGACAACTGTATGCATACAAAAGGATAAAGTCAGACCTCTAGCTCACACCACATACAAAAATGAACTCCAAATATATCAAAGACCCAAATGTTAGAGCTGAAACCATAAACCTCTTAACAGAAAACAAAACTGTAAATCCTCGTGACTATGTATTAGGCAGTGGCTTCTTGGATATGACACCAAAAGCATGAGCAACAAAAGATAAATTGGACTTTATTAAAACTAAAAACACTTTTGTGCTTCAAAGGACACTGTCAAGAAATAGAAAAGACAATCCACAAAATGGAGCAAATATTTATAAATCACATATCTGATAATAGTATCCAGAATATTTTTTAAAACTTTACCATTCAACAACAAAAAGACCAATAACGCAATATAAATGGGCAAAGCATTTGAATAGACATTTCTACAAAAAATATATTAATATGTTTTGAATATATACATATATATACTCTAGAGAGAATGACAGAGATATATCCAATAAGCACATGAAAAGATAGTATCTGAAGTACTATCTTGGGTAGATTAAAAGAAAAAAAAGGACATTCAGTATCATTCATCATTAGAGAAATACAAATCAAAGATACAATGAGATAACACTTCACCCCCACTAGGACAGCTATAATCAAATAGATGGACAAGGGTTAGCAAGAATATACAGAAATTGGAAACCTCACACACCATTGATGAGAATTTAAATGGTGCAGCCACTTTAAAATACACTTTGGCAATTCCTCAAAATGTTAAACATAGAATTACCTTATTAGAATTACCCAGCAAGAGAACTGAAAACATATGTTCTCACAAAAACTTAAGCATGAACATCCATGGCAGCATTATTCATAATAGCCAAAAAGTGGAAACAGCCCAAATGTCCATCAACTGATAAATGGATAAACAAAATTTGACATATCAACATGATGGAATATTATTCAGCCATAAAAATATGAAGTACTGTTCCATGGATGAACCTTGAAAACATTAGACTAAGTGAAACAAGACACAAAAGACCACATATAGTATAATTCAATTTATATGAGCTTTCTGGATTTAAAAAATCCACAGAGACAGAAAGTAGATTAGTAGTTACCAAGGTTTAGGCAAGTGGAGGATGGGGGGTTAGTACTAGTGGGTATGGAACTTATTTTTAGCATATAGAAAATGTTCTGTTCTGGCATTAGATAATAGTGAAGATTGCACAAAGTCGGAACTGCATACTTTAAAAAAAAGACCAATGCCCTACCAATAAAGTACAAGTTCCTTTTATTAAAAAAAAAAAAAAAAGAAACATCAGGTAAAATACAAAATATGTGAAATCTGATTATGTTCAAAAAATTACATACAAGGTTATAGCAATTAAGCAAAGATGAAAAAGTGAATACTGGCCAGGTGTGGTGGTTCACGCCTGTAATCCTAGCACTCTGGGAGGCCAAGGCAGGAGGACTGCTTGAACTCAAGAGTTCTAGGCCAGCCTGAGCAAGAGCAAGACCCCATCTCTACAAAAAATAGAAAAATTAGCCAGACATGGTGGCGCATGTCTGTAGTCCCAGATACTCTGGAGGCAGATACTCCTGGAGCCCAGGAGTTTGAGGTTGCAGTGAGCTGTGATGATGCATGGCACTCTAGTGA